ATATGTTTGAGACTAAGATTTCAAAATACACATTTAAAACATTTGAACCCAACAAATACTAAAGTCTAAGACGTTGCTCCATGCTTTCTGCGACGAGTGTACACCAAGTTCTCTGATGGTGTATGTTCTTCAGTGGACTGTTGGCCCTCCAAGACTTGTGTTATCTTCTTCATAGCATTGCGTAACATATCTCAGGTGGGAGCTGCTTCATTGTATCCGATTTTGAACATTGAACGTGAAATGCGTAAGGCACTGTCAATGCGCTGCAAACAATAAAATAAAACTTAACAATTGTCTTAAACAAACTATATATGAAAATGAAAATGAAAATGGTAAAAATTAACATACGAATTGAAGTTGACGATAATTAGTTGATGTCTTAGTGCGTGGGTTATGCTTAGAACGATGTGTCGGATTTTGAACTTGCACATGTGAAATGGAAGTAAACCAGTCCAAGTAACCCGGCACACAATCTCATGGATGCAAGACTAGAACACTACGAGCTATTTCAGACAAGAAGTGATTTTCCCAACTCTCTCAAATCATATCCAAGTATTTATAGGCAATGATGTACTGTTTTGCAGTGGATCCTCTAGAGGCTCGAACTGGAGCAAGTGGAGGTGAGGGAATAATTTGCACTCTACCAAACTGTCTCAGTACCCTATCTGGATGGTATAGTTCAACAATGTGCATACATTTTAAGCATTCACTATAGTAAGCAACATCAGAAAAATGATGCTCAATACGCTTATCATGGTATGGATCCCAAATAACCTACAATAGTAAAAATTTTATATGTAAGTTATGAATTAGATTGAATAATAGCAAGTAATATGTACATACATTGACATAAAATTGACACTTACGTCATGGGCCTCTAATCTGTCGAGGTCCTCTCGCAACCTTTGTAAAATAGACGTTGACGAACCACATTAGGTGCGAGAAATCCAACAAAAGACACAAGGCTGATCTTCTTTATAGTCCAAATTGGGGTGGGGTCTAGCACCAACAAAATGCTCGTAAATCCAAGCTTCCAGCAATGTCATGTATCCCGCCATCTGTTTTACGGCATACCTTATGGTAGTACCCAATTGCCGGTATAAAAAAGCCAATACGGCTGCACCCCAAGCATAAAAAGCAACCGATTGCAAATCCGTAAGAAAAGACAAATACACTACCGGAACACGTGTGCCTGTCTTGTTTGCAAATAAGGTACGACCTAACAAATATAACAAATATGCTCTAGCTGTACACTCAATGGTATTATCATTGTCCGCATCAGACATTGACCCAAACCATTGTCTCAACCATTCTACCTTGATAGACTAGCCTCGTGCTACCTTCAACGCTACATTTGCCTCATCTATTGTTACTCCCAAAGCCTCAACTAGCAGATTTGCAGCGTCAACATTTGATAACTTCTTGCAAGAGACTGATTTACCAATCACTAGAATCCCTAGGATTACACTAACATCATCTAAGGTTGGTGACATCTCACCAAACGGTAGATGAAACGTGTTTGTCTCTGGCTACCATCTTTCCACAAAGGCCGAAATTACAACTTTGTTTACAAATTTATGGGAGCAACTCACTAAAGAAATCAACCCCAAATCCATAATTAAACCATGAAATTTGGACTATTCATTATCTTCCAAGTTGAATGACCATTCTCCAACTTTAAGACCATGATTTAAGCATTTAAGTATTCCACGTTCCTGCAGCATAGAAAAAAAAAAAAAAAAAAAGAATTAGTAAACTTGAAACAAAATTTAAAACATTAAATTAATGTAAGACAATGACTTACATCATTATGCCAAATTTTGGCTGCTACGTGACAATGAAAACTCTTCAAAATTGAAGGATCATATGGCCCTCCAGGAAAAGGTCCAGTAAGATTTTCATTAACTTTTTCAGTTGTATCTGCTAGTTGGTCTTCAGAGTCACCCATGTATATTGGTTCATCATCCAGATCATCACCTATGTGTGTTGGTTCGTCACCCATATCTATTGGTTCATCACCCAAATCATCACTCATGTCACTCACATTCAATTGATTGCCCCCATCATTTTCAACCTCAATCGTTTTTGCTAGAGCAGCACCTATGTCATTCATGTTATGTTCATTAACTCCACTACCTTGATCCTTAGTCTTACGAGTGCGTCGAAGTCTCTTAGCCACTTTTTGAGAAAGTATAGCATTACGTCTCCTAAACGTTGTTGGGCGATCTCAAGCAGTTTCCACCATAGCTATCCACCAAGTAGAATTAGATGTGTCATTGAAACCTATCTTAAATAGGTGTGTCATGACCAATTCAAATAGGAAACAACAAACTAAGATAGTTTCTTACCAAACACAAAGTAAATAAACGATAAAAAGAAACTACTAAAAATAAGATATTTGTGTTGGATCAAAATTTGAGAATTGTGATGCATTAGAAGCATGCCAAGAGCACGGCCATCAAAAACAAAAAATCCTATCTCTTGTTAAGTACTTAAAGAAAAGTGAATTTTCTGAAAAGCTGTTGAATTATCCTACCTCTTGTGAAGATATCCTACCTTTTGAATTATCCTACCTCTTATGAAAATACACAAGAGGTAGGACAAGTTGTTGAATTCAAGAGGTATGATATGATATAATATAATATAATATAATTCAAGAGGTAGGATATAATATAATTCAAGAGGTAGGATAAGCTGTTGAATTATCCTACCTCTTATTAAGTATTACATGCTGTGTATTTTCACAAGAGGTAGCAAAAGCTGTGAATTTTCTCTAAGTGCTAATAAGTTGCAATATAATAAGTTGCAACACTGGCCCAAAGCCTATAGTTGCAATATAATCACATGCACCTCCAAGTTGATATAATGTGCTAAAATTAGCACTGTTTTCAAACACCCCACCTACCTCTTGTTAGGTTTATGATGTGTATTGTGCTAATTAGAGTTAGTTTATGTGGAAGACAATAATCTGGCTAGTTGCTATCCTGAATTAAAATTCATATGTAATAGAAGTCTAAATTTTCATTTTCTTACTTCTTACTCACCAAACAAATATAAACTTGGAATTTATAAGGTACAATATTACATAAAAAAGAACATAACTTTTTTAGCTCAAATATGATACAATATTACAGAGTCAAGTGCCCTTTTCTTTATTGACAATTTCTGATTTGTCATTTACAACAAACAATGTATAACAAAAACTAGCCTAACCTCACTACTAGTTAATGTTTAAGTAATAAAAGTAACACAAAAGAAAAAAAAACAAAACAAAACAAAACAAAATTTAAAAAAAAATAATTATGAAATGAAAGTACTTCAAAACAGAGGCAAAACCAATAATGGCAATGCCTTACAATAACAGAAAATGGACAATTTTATTGTATATGTACAATACAGACATAAAAATCTCACACTTAAAAAAGCAACTGGTCCCAATACTCCAAGACAAAGGATCAGCCAAACAAATTTTGTTTTCTTTATGCACAAAAAAAACACAACCAAAATACCCAACAATTCAAGACAAAGGACCAGCCAGACATATTTTCTAAAAGACAAAAAGTTCTAATATATTTTTTTTAATTTTATTTCTAGTTGGTATGTAAAATTCTATTACATTATACTATTCAAGTCATCCATTAGATTATAATATTCAGACCTTTATTCCCCAAAAAAAAAATTGAATTTCAGGCCATCCATTACATTATAATATTCTCCCACAATTAGGATTTTGTGTGGTTGTGATTTTGGTTCGTAAAGGATTTTTTGTTTGTGTGGTTATGATTGATTGAAGAGAAAAGATAAATAAATTATACCTTTGATGGTAGATGAAAAAGTCTACATGTGTTGAATTTCTGAAAGTGTTGAATTTTCGAAAAATTACAGCATCACTTGATTCGAAAGTGTTGAAGCACTTGTAAGAAAAAAAGAAAAAAAGAAAAAAAAGTAATGTCCCAAGCACTTCAGCAACAAAATGGATTCAATCGGTGTGGAGAAGATGAATACAGTAGAGCGACGGTCAAGGAAGGAGAGGTATGAAAATTAGGTGGGTGTGCATTTGATTGTGAAAATATTATGAATATGGGTAGATTTGGTAACAAGTAAGGTGTCCAAAAAAATATTATTAAAATTTAGGGTTTAGGGTTGAGGTCCAAAGAAATGGGGGGTCCAAAGAATTTTGGTAGGTGCTAAGAGCAACACTCTTCACATAATTGGCAAAAAATGAATTTCATTGTTTCAATTACACTTTCACCCCTAAAGAATGAGTCATTTTTCATTTTGGTCCTTAATGAAAAGGTTCACCTAATTTGTTCCAATTACTTTCTGTCACGGTTTATAATTTCAAAAATTAACTTTCTTGTTTTGATCCTTTAAAAAAGTAAGTCCTCTTTGGTCCGAAAATAAATCATCCCAAACCCATTCAATCTCAAAACAACTTCCCACCTATTGGTTGAAAATGAAATTACAGCGGGTATGTGCTGTTGAAGATGCTTCAAATCAATGTCTGGGGCTGGTGGAGATCAAGTGTAAAACAAGGATGGAAGATTGTGGCCCTTTAAAAAAACAGATTTGTTATTGTTCAGTCAAATAAAAACATGCTGTTGATTTCATGAATTTTGGTTAGGTAAAATAATAAAAATACCCTAGCATGTAAATCAGCTTGCAAGGAGAGAATGCTCAAGAGACTTTATATTTACATGATCACTCTCATTTGAGAATCTTGAAATGCAAAAATCTCAAAAATGATGTAATTGTTAGGATCAAGGCACACCAGAAATCAATCACACAGAAAAGAGAAAAGAAATTTACGTGGTTCGGCAATTGCCTACGTCCACAGGAGAGATATTCACTATAGATTTTTTTCCCGGAAGGAGTTTACAACACGCACACTTCACTCTCTCTCTATAGCACTCTCACTCTCTTACACAGATTATACACTATGTGTTTGTTGTCTCTGTTTGTATTGTTTCATCTCTTCTTCATCACCTCAATTTATACACAAATGAGAGAATACAAAGTCAAAAAACAAAGTTATTAGGTTGCCAACTACCAACTACCATCTTCCTTCTTGACTTGGAGAGCCAACCAGAACCTCCAACTACTCTTCCATGTGGGCTGGAGTTAACAATTCTCTCCCTCCACGCCCATATGGATAACTGGCTTCTTACTTAAAGTCCATCCCGGTCAGATTCTTGCAAACTTCCAGTTTGTCTCTGGTGACAACCTTGGTCATCATGTCAGAAGGATTCTTGTCCGTGTGAATCTTCATTAGCTTCATCATGTGCTTTTCCATCACTTCTCGTATCCAATGATACCGGACATTAATGTTCTTTGTACGTGAATAGTACATGGAATTCTTGTTCAGATCAATCGCACTCTGACTATCACAATGTACCTTGTACTATTCCTGTTGTAGACCCAATTCTTGGAGAAATCGCTTTAACCACAACATTTCCTTTCCAGCATCTACGACAACAATGTATTCTGCCTCTGTTGTAGATAAAGCAACACACTTTTGTAGTTTGGACTGCCATGAAACAGCTTCCCCTGCAAAGGTGAATAAAAATCCTGATGTAGACTTTCTACCATCAAGATCACCTGCCATATCAGCATCTATAAAACCCTCCAAAATTGGTTTAGCTCCCTCAAAACATAGACACATCTTTGAAATTCGCTTCAAGTACCGAAGAATCCATTTGACAACCTCCCAATGCTCCTTTTCTGGATTAGCGAGGAATCTGCTCATAATGCCAATTGCGTGAGCTATATCTGGCCAAGTATACACCATTGCATACATTAAACTTCCTATTGCAAAGGAATAGGGGATTGCCTCCACTTCTTTCCTTTCAGAGCTGGTCGTGGGACACGAACACTTTGTCACCTTGAACTTTGTCACCTTGAAATGGTTAGCCAGTGGTGTGCTGACTGGCTTGGCATCTTTGATGTTGAACCTTTCAATCACCCGTTCAACATATTTCTCCTGTGACAGCCATATCTTCTTGACTTTCCTGTCACAAACAATCTTCATACCCAAAATCTGCTGTGCTAGGCTTAAATTCTTCGTGTCAAAATACTGCGACAAGTCCTTTTTCAACTTGTTGATCATAGCAATATCTTGTCCGATGATCAACATATCATTGACACACAACAATAGGATGATGAAGTTTCTATCCAAAAACATTTGGAAGTATACACACTGGTTTGTTATTGTTTTTTTGTACTCGTGATTCACCATGAATGAATCAAACTTCTTGTATCATTGTCTCGGCGCCTGCTTCAGGCCATAGAGACTCCTCTTCAGTTTACAAACTAGATTCTGTTTCCCTTTAACTTCAAATCCTTCTGGTTGCTCCATATAGATCTCTTTCTCCAAATCACCATGGAGAAAGGTAGTCTTGACATCCATCTGTTCTACCTCCAGATTCAAGCAAGCTGCTAATCCCAGAGCAATTCGAATGGAAGTCATCTTCACAATTGGGAAGAAGATCTCATCAAAATCAATTCATTTTTTCTGCCCAAAACCTTTGACCACTAAGCGAGCTTTATGCTGTAGTATTTTACCATTGCCATCTTTCTTTAATTTGTACACCCATTTGTTTTTCAATGCCTTCCTGTCCTTTGGAAGTGAAACAAGCTCATAAGTGTGGTTCTTCTGCAAAGAACTCATCTCCTGCTTCATGGCTTGTATCCATCAATCTTTCTCTGCATGACTCTTTGCTTCCGAAAAACTCTCGAGTTCTCCCTCATCAGTAATCAAAATATACTAAGAAACAAGATATTTGGTTGATGGCACGACAGCTTTTCCAGATCTCCGCAACTAAGGCCTAGTTGCCTCTGATTGAGGGGATTGCTCCCCCTGCTCAACACCCTCTTTATCTGGGTTTTCATCTCTTTCCTCCTGATCCTCAATTTCTGGCATAGGATCCTGCAACTCTGGCACTTTTTGTTACACATCTCACATCTAGTATTTTGTGATGGCTCAAGAGATGGGAACAAGTCTGGAGTGATGACATCTCTAGACTTTGCAGACTTCTCAAAATCTGCTACTATCTGGTCTTCTTGGAATACAACATCTCTGCTCCTGAACATCTTTTTATTCATTGGGTCCCACAACTTGTACGCAAATGTTGCATCTGAATAGCCCACAAATATGCATGGAGCGGACTTGTCATCAAGCTTCTGTTTGTTTTCCTTGGAGATGTGTGCGAACGCCTTACACCCGAAGACTCTTAAGTGAGAATATGATACCTTTCTTCTAGACCAGACTTCCTCAGGTATCGCAAAGTTCAACGGGACTAAAGGCAACCTATTGACGAGATAACAGGCTGTACGGACGGCTTCAGCCCAGAATGACTTTGGCAACTTTGTCATTCTGAGCATGCATCTAACTCTTTCAATAATAGTGCGGTTCATCCTCTCTGCCACACCATTATGTTGTGGGGTACCGAGAAATGTTATCTCATGCCAGATACCTCTGCTGGCACAATATGCTTCAAAAGCATTGGAAGTGTACTTGCCACCATTGTCTGTGCGAAGAGACTTCAACTTTTTTTCAACCTCTCTTTCTACCATTGCATAGAACTCCTGAAAGTGCTGGAATACCTTATCCTTCGTCTTCAGGAAATACACCCACAACATCCTTAATGCATCATCAATGAAGGTCAGAAAAAACTTGCAATCGCCAAGTGACTCCACTTCGATTGGGCCACAAACATCCGAGTATACGATACTGAGCACTTCTGTTTTCCTCTTGCTCGTTGAATTGAATGATACTCGATGCTGCTTGCCATAAAGGCAATGATC